CCCGCAATAATAAAACCCTGGGGGCGACTCAGTAGTCACACATCTGAGATGACAGAAGCTAAGAAGACAATAACCCTGGGGGCGACTCAGTAGTCACACATCTGAGATGACAGAAGCCAAGAGGACAATAACCTCCTGGAAGCGTGCAGGTCACATGTAGGTCGTGAGTAACGCACGTGCGAGTCACTCGTCAGTCACGCTGATGTCCCTCGTGAGTAATTGGGTTTGGTCCGGATACTGAGTGCCTACTTCTGCTTTCGAAGATATCAGTTGTTTTTGTTGTTGTTTTTTTTGGTAAAGTGTTTTGCGGCGCTCGCAACTGCATAAGGTCAAATGAGCTCACTGGACACATTTAACCTTTTCAGTTGATAGGAAATTTTGAATTTTGCCCGGGTGGCGGCCGAAGCCTACTCTTATCGATTTTAGATCATCAAGGGATATTAATCGTGCGCCCTTGTCCGAGAAGGCTAGGTGTACATCTTTCCTACCAGAAGATCAGTGGTGTGGCTGAAAGACAGCAGTAAGACGGAGCCAAGGAGTAGCAGTACAAAGGCTGCAGAAAGAGTCAAGAGCCCAGAGGAGGGGGCAGAAAGGGGAGACGAAAGCAGACGACAGAACATTGCTAGAGAGCAGGAAAGGAAGTGAAAGGAGAACATTTAAGAAAAGAAAATTTTAGGTCGCTTCCCGGATTCGAACCCGGGACCTTTGAATGAGAGGCCAACACCTTAACCTCTAGGCCACGAGAGCCCTCAGATATCAGTTCGATTCCTAGTTATAACAAAGATCATTCATAATAAGACTGACGAGTGACTCGCACAAGTTTTCGAACCACATCCAACCAAACACGACACTAACTACTGAGCCACTGTCAAAAAGTGTACAAATAACCTGTTCAGATGGAGGAGATTCGAACTACAGCCTCCTGCACCGAAACCTAATAGATACCAACACTGAGGATCCAGAAACAAATGGACCAATAACCTGTCTTGTAGGGATTCGAACTACAGTCAACAAACACGATACCAACTGAGCTTCCTGCGACAAATTAATGGACCAATAACCTGTTCAAAAAGGATTCGAACTACAGTCAACCAAACACAACACTAACTGAGCTTCCTGCAACAAGAGTACAAATGTGAGGCAGAGTTGTGAAATCAGACGCTCGTCAAAGTAAAGACATTGAAGGGAGACATTTTCCCGCCAGTTTGGACATTCGTATCGAATTTTTTTATTTTTTTTCTGGCCCAACACCTTTTATGTTGATATAAAGACATAACATCTCCGTGTGAATGTGACGGAAAGACGTTAATTTGAAGACGCAAAAATTTGTAATGTTTCAGTTTTCAAGGACTCAAAATTTTGTGGCCATTTTCTCGCTAATTTTACCTCTGAAAAAAGGTGATCTCCAACTCCTTCAATCGCAGCTGATATCTCGACTTCTATTCAAGATAAATGGGTAGAATCTATGTTTTTATTGAATACAAGACAAATGAATAAGCGTTAAGATAATGCTCAAAAACTCCAAATGCCCCAAAATTGACGAGCGCCTGATTCCACCAAGCCATGACACAAATAACAACCAGTACAGTGAATGGGATTGGAACCACAGCCATCTGCAACGTAGCCCAACTTGACACCAACTGAACATCCTGCAACAGGTCATGTACACAGAACACAAAATCTGGCCAGACAGAATCATGTCGTTCCGAGCTCAGTTGACGACCAGCCCCCCTTTCCCTTCCCCCGCATAATGTACTCTACTCACAAACAGTATAGTATACCACTGGTCTATGGTGTGTGTTGGATACCTCTCTCATCATCAGAATTCAGAGACATTCTCCTAACTATTAAATGCCATAAACTTTTGACCTATGGGTTAGTTTATTAGTTGCCCGTGACACAGAGATAGTTCCTTTTGCGTCAATGGAGGTTTATTGGGTCAGACAACAAGCGTACTTTTAACAACAGTGCAACACTATTGTCTCTCTTCTCGTCTCCCAAGAGGAAAGGGGGGGGGGGGGCACGTTAGCTTTTGAATTAATGTCGAGATTTTTTTAAAAATAACTTGTTTGGGATTAAATTACGTTTGGGCGAAAAGAGGATGAATGAGATTCATATAAGAAATTCTAATCTAATTAATATTATTGTGACAGGTTTGTTTACTTTTTGTTGCTTATTTTATTTTGGGGTTGGGCTGACTTTTAAAAAAACATTTTTGGGGGTGGGTGATTTTTTTGTGTGGGTTTTTTATAGGTTTTTTTTTTTACTTGTTGAATGAGGTTGTCTTTTTGTTTTGATGTCCTGTTTGCTTTTTTGTGTTGTTAGACTTTTCCTTTCTTTGTTATTGCTGCTTCTTGGTTGATGTATCTGTCTGTAAGGTGAGGGGGA